TTATACGTATTTTTATCTGCAGAATATGCTGAAGAATATACTTCCCGAATACAATTTGTACCACCCTGTATACAACTTTTTGGGGACACCATATAGAATAGGCCATAGATTTTAAATAAAGCTACGGACGTGCCCCAAAAAGATATATTCCTACAAAAATTGACGTTCTCTTTGGAGCTTTTATATTGCCGTGTCTCTATCTATAAGAAATGGAAATTCGCGAAATTTTGGCGTTAGTTGCTCTAGTCCAGTAAATAAGGACACGAAAAGACCCAAGTCTCGGCGTAAATCCTCGACCTTGACTTTTTAGGCGGATAATGTACCTTTTGGGGAGTAGTTGTAGGGGGAAAATTTGTAATACCGTGCTCGGCTAGCCTTGGCCGAAAAAATGGCCCCAAATGGTTAGTATTTCGCAAATATCTGCCAAAACATCCAATTTACAAAAAAATTCTTGAATGAAAAATGAAGCGTGGCCTATATATATCACATTTTGGAACTTCCTGGTCCAAAAATTTCGAAATTTTACAAACTTATTCATATTTTCACTAATAATTAATAATAGCTTATTTGTCAAGGTTTTTTTAACATTTGTTCTATTTAAGCAACTCTTTAAGCAAGGCTTTTTCCGCTTTTTAGGATTTCCGAAAAGTGTCGTAAACAAAAGAAAATTGCATAATAACTTTATAAATAACAAACATCAAAGAGGAGTTGTTAAATAATAAATAAATAATAGGTTAGAATGATAAAAGTTCGAAATTACCTGCAATGTCTTGCAACTCTTTCAGAGTATATTGCTCTTGTCTATTTTCCCCGAAATAATAAAGGACTACTTTCACCATTTGGTCTGAAATATCAGCCTCCAAGGTAGACCTGTTCGGTATTGATATTTGAACACCGGTGTTAGGTGTTGATGACCACCGGTGTTTCAGATGGTGTACCGGGATCAATACCGACACCGGTGTTTATCTCAACACCGGTGTTCATTTCATTATCTCAACACCGGTGTTCATTTCAGCACCAGTGTTTATCTCGACACCGGTGTTTATCTACAACACCGGTGTTTATCTCGACACCGGTGTTTATCTCAACACCGGTGTTTATCTCGACACCGGTGTTTATCTCAACACCGGTATCGCGATGAACACCCGTGTCGAGATCAACACCGGTGTCGGTGTCGCGCGATGTCAATTGTACCGTTTTTTTTGTTTTTTTCTGACGCTTCTTTATCTGGCGCTTCCACTTTATTTTAGTGATTTGTCTGGCAAAAAAATTATATTTAAATTTGAAAGCTTTAGTAGTTAAAGTCGGTGCGCTTTAATAAATGATAAAAATAAGCACCGATACGACATTGTTATTATCAGGTTTATTTTGGACTTATTAATTAACATTATTTCTTCTTTTTTTTTCACACCGGTGTCGATATCAAAACCGGTGTCGTAGCCAAAACCGGTATCGAGATGAACACCGGTGTCGGTGTCAACTCCAGTGTCGGTGCCAACACCGGTGTTGGTGTCGACACCGGAACACCGGATAGCCTATATTTGGCCACCGGTGTCAGCCCAACACCGGTGTTTGGAATAGGCCTAATCCAAGGGACGTCCTAGTCCCTTGATGGTCTAGGCTCTAGGGGCTGTGGAGCATGATTTATAAGAATGCTTCACAATGCTTGTAATATCTGGCACCCGCACAAAGAAAATCTTGACAAATAAGCTATTGTTAGTAAAAAAATGAGTAGGTTAGTAAAAATCTGAAATTTCTTGGGTCAAGGAATGGTATGGCCGGTTTTTTTATAATCATAAAACACTTTTCTTAACAAAATAGCAAAGAAAATTGAGACCAGATAGAAGTTTGACATTTGATTATATCCTTCTTTTTCTCTACTCCTATGTAATAAGAGAGACAAAATGTATTCTAGACCCTAATCTAGAAATTTGAAAATTTACAACGCCGTTATGCGTTCTATTTTTTCGGGTGTTTAGGGATTTTAAACAAATTGCCTATTATGAGATCGACAATAATTAAATATACACCTATATCCACAAAATTATAGTGGAAGAGTTTTTGATTGCATTGGTTTTAACTTTTTGTGGAAGAGGTTGAAATCTTTTTTTGAAGTTAATTCAATAATATAACAACAAAAGATTAACACCCTCTGCATGGAAGTTGTAACCAGTGCAACCAAAACTCACTCGTGCAACTATGTCGTGGGTATAAATGAAGTCAGATCTCGTTGGTAAAATAGCAGTTATGGGAAGGAGTCGTTCTTCCGGCGACTGCCTTCGTAATTCCAGATGAGGCGAAAAAACACACGCTAAATTTAGGACAGCATTGGCAACAATTGCTTTAAATGCCAGAAACATTATAAGCTTACTTCGGGTTTCTCTTGTACCTATTCTGAACCGTCCACAGAACTGTGATGTGTATGCGCAGAAGGAAATATGAAGACATTATTTCATTTTCGCATGCGCTGTAGAGTTTCCTGCTTGTAATATCTGGCACCCGCACAAAGAAAATCTTGACAAATAAGCTATTGTTAGTAAAAAAATGAGTAGGTTAGTAAAAATCTGAAATTTCTTGGGTCAAGGAATGGTATGGCCGGTTTTTTTATAATCATAAAATATGACAAAATATAAACAAGTTCCAAAATGGGATAGTTGTTGATTCTACTTTTTAAATGAACTCTGAATCATCAAAAATTATTAAATTTTAGCCAAGTTATTAAACAATTAATTTGTCCGATCAATCAATGATACGCTTATGAAATATATTTCCGGAGCGATAAGACTTGGAGAGAAAATTCGGGGATCTTCGAGGCCCCCGGAATATCTCGAAAACTATTAATTCTACGTAAAAATGATAAGGACCAGTAGATAATTACATAAGCTTCATTTTTTATTCCAAGGAAAATTTTGTAAATTGCATATTTTGGCAGATATTTACGAAAAACTGATTTTTCGGCCATTTTTTCGAGGCCGAGCATGGTGTTATAATTTTTTCCCCTAAAACTACTCCCCAAAAAGTACAATCCGCCTGAAAAGTCCAGTTTGACGAATTTTTGGCTGTGCTTTCAACCTTCATTTACTGGACTACACCATCAATTGGATTTACTAAAGTTTCGAAAACTAGAAAAATATCGCATTCTTTATAAAATTGTTATGATGTTGAGTCCAGGATAAAGCAAACAGCACATATTTTTTAAAAAAGAACATTTATTATAATACTGGAGATTTTCTATAAACCCCTAACTGGAACAACTACATATTTTAATAATTTTATAAAAATATAAAACTAAAATATTAAATATACAACTAACTGTTCCATTTATATTATTTTAGTAATGAGAAAAAACAATTAGCTATTGATTTTGAAAGTGATATTTTAAAACTAACAAACATCTAAAAATACTTTTTCAGTTAACAAAATACTAGAAAACAAAAACAACACGTCATTATATGTGTAGAGGGCAAATAGTGTTTAAAAAATGCAGGTATCTTTTGGCACTTACAAAAAATATTATCGATTACTAACTTTCTGCTTATTATTTATGGCATGGGTTAATTAAATTGGAGCTACATAAGGTGTGAAATTTTTATACATATTTCAGAGGACAATACTACCAAACATCATATATGCTAAAATTAGTAATCAGTATTTTATCCCAATAACACTATATAAACTAAATTTTTTGACTGTTACCAAATTTTACTTGTTTTAAAACAACATTCCGATATCTTTATACAAAAATTATAGAAATATTGTGTAATTATAGAAATAGTGAACAGTAATTTAAAAATCTATATAATTGATTTTATTTCTTATTTGTTATTAAAATTAGGTACAAAATCTAAAGTTTCATACAGTAGCGTTAGTCTAACTGATATGACAAATTAGTTTGATAAAACATCTGGTAATATTTAGTAGTATAAAAGAAATATTTGATGTAAATTATACATATACAGGGTGTTTCAAAACAAATACGAAAAACTTCAGGGGCTGATTCCTTGTTCAAAATAAAGGGTAGTTTGCTTCATAAACGTTGGGTCAAAAGTCAACCATTAGGGAGATATCGCGGTACAAAGATGGCGGAAAAATAATGTTCTTATTTTTTATCTTGAAAACGAAAAGATAGACTAATGAAATTTTATGGAAGCATTACTGTTATGAAAACACACTTTCTAGTAATTTTTTCACTTTTTTAAAATGAGTGGAAGGGGTTGAAATAAACTACCCCTATCATTCTTGTTAACGAAATTTAAAGAAAAATCTTATCAAGCACATGCAAAAAAATTAATTTGGATAGTTTAGTTTGTTTAGAAACTTTTTTATCTCTTGTATTTTTTTTATAAAACTCACCAATTTGAAATTAAAAAATAAAATGTAAAGCATTACATGTCAGGACTAAAAATATTTTTAGATAAAGAATCTAGTGATAATAATGATAATAATAATAATCTAGATAATAACGTATTGCAGTAGGGTAATGTCAAATAAAACAATATTAGAAACATCCTAAAAAAGTGACAGCGGCCGACTAGATTTTTTCAAAAAATTACAGCTGCCCACTAGATTCTTTATCTAAAAATGTTTTTTGTCCTGACATGTAATGCTTTACATTTTATTTTTTAATTTCAAATCGGTGAGTTTGATCAAAAAAACACAAGAGATAAAAAAGTTTCTAAATAAACTAAACTATCAAAATTAATTTTTTTTGCGTGTGTTTGATTTGGAAAAAGATTTTTCTTTGAATTTCATTAACAAGAATGATAGGGGTAGTTTATTTCAACCCCTTCCACTCATTTTAAAAAAGTGAAAAAATTACCAGAAAGTGTGTTTTCATAACAGTAATGCTTCTGTAAAATTTCATTAGTCTATCTCTTTTCGTTTTCAAGATAAAAAATAAAAACATTATTTTTCCGCCATCTTTGTACCGCGATAAAATATCTCCCTAATGGTTGACTTTTGACCCAACGTTTATAAAGCAAACTACCCTTTATTTTGAACAAGGAATCACCCCCTGAAGTTTTTCGCATTTCTTTTGAAACACCCTGTATATTTTGACTATAGCCATAATACATATAAGAAACAAAATGTTTTACTAAGTTTAACTGCCAAACCAATATCTTCTATGAATTTGAAATGTAATAAATAAAAATCAGTTAATGTTAAAAATTTTAGACGCCATGAATCTAACATAAATCAATTATTACAAATACCACACACTACCCCCCTCCCATAACACACCCCCACAAAAAGTATTAATTACACATATTTTCAAAAATTTAGCACATACAAATATTTCTTTCTCAAAATATCTTTGATGGTTGATTATAGGAATGTTTTAACAGGACCCTAAACACTACAAAAAAGTGTTTTCTTAATTTAACAGCAAATTTACTCAAAATGAGAAAAGTATATATTAATCCAGATATACAATTTTCATGAATATAAAAATATAACTAAACAATAACGAATACTCAGATCTTAGAAAATATAAGTGTGTTTTAACAAAAATATTTAATGAGTGATTATCTTGGTGGAGAATCCAACACAGAGAATGTTTGTTTAAGTTTTTTTGCTGGTGGATCATCTACTTCAGTATCATTACATTTATCAAATTTATCTTGTATATTAACATTACTATCAAGAGAATCAATTTTCTCTTTGCTTATTTGATTTTGCATTTCTGCAATTACATCTGACAGTAAATCATTGTTAACATCTTTAGCAGATTCTGTTTTTTTACTTTGAGATAAAGGGGTATTAAGTTGAGAATATTTAAAATCCTCAAATTCTATATATGGTTTTCCTACATTTTGTAGATGTGCCCTAATTTCCAAATATGTACATACAACTTTAATTTGATCATAAGTAATATCTTCTGGACAAACATCCTTTATAGGTTTAAGATAAGACCAATTTCCTCCTATGTCACTTATCGCTTGTACAATAATATTTTTAACATCATCTGACACACCCAATTGGCTCATTTTAATGGGATACCCAAGTTTCATAGCACTTATAAGATGATTAACAACAGTGCTCCTAGCTAACTTCCTGGAATCTACTATTTCATCTATTGATAAACCTTTCTTTAAATGTGAATATGAAACTTCTGCAGTACTATTGAATGTTGAGTTGCCAATTGGATGACTTTCTAAAATATCTTTTATCGGAATATCATTAGATTTACTTGATTGATTATCTGATAGAACCTTCAAGAAATGATCACCAAATTTGTTAATTTGTGTTTCAGTAAAACCTTCAATTTGTAATTCTTTCAAATGTTTTAATGTAAGGGGGTTCTTCTTAGCTATTTCCATTAAAACACTATTTGAAGCTATCATATAAGGCATGATATTTGCTGCTGATGCCAACTCTCTTCTACGATTTAAAAGTTTATTATATTTTTTAAGAATTTCAGCAACATTTTCTGGATTTGTATTTTCATCTTCTTCTGATAAATTACTATTAACATTTATATCATTTTTTATTACTTTATTTAGTGATGTACTTGGGCTTTCTGTATCTATCCATTTAGAAGCCTGTGTTTTTTTCTTTAACAATTTTACTAGATCTGGTGTTGGATAATCAACCAGTTTTCTGCAATCAGAATTTAAAAACTGATTGCCATCCTTGCCCAAACCAATAGTAAAATAACTAAATGTCCCTTTCTTGATACTGTGTTTAATCAAAAACTTTTTAATTTCCAAGTAATTTGCAATAGCTTTCCACCAATCAACCGACTTGTTGCGACCTACTCCATATTTTGGATGTTTTTTGTATTTTTCTTGAATTTTAGAACCTTGGGATCCTTTTAAGAATAATGTATATACTCCAACACCATAGGACTCATCTAAGGCCTTCACAGCAGATAAAAAATTAGTAGCATCATCAGTATAATCGTACATTCCTAGAGAATCTAATCCTTCATAAATAGTACTGTTTGATGTATCGAGTTTCTTTGAACAATTATCGCAACAATTTGCTCTTACAGGTAAATCTAAATTAGAATTATCCTCAAAATATGCTAATATATACTGCCTTCTACACTTCCAAGTTGCTAAATATTCCTTCATAGCATCTATCTTGGTTAATTTTTTACTCGGATCGCCTGATTGTTGTGATAGAAAATCGTGAGTGTGAAAGTCTTGATTGCTATAAAAAGTGACACATTTTGAGAATAACCCATCTCTTCCTGCCCTTCCAACTTCTTGGTAGTAACCTTCAATAGAATTAGAAGCTCCATAATGAATAATATTTCGAATATCAGGTTTGTCAATACCCATACCAAAGGCAATTGTTGCTACTATAACCGATACTTCATCTCTAACAAAACTTGAATGAGCTTCTTTACGTAACTTGAGTGATATTCCGGCATGATATGAAACACAATCTATTTCGTGATTTTTTAGAATCTGACTAATTTCTTCTGTATCTTTTCTTCTAATACAGTAAATAATAGTGGGCCCATTAAATATCCACTGGCCATTTTTTTGAAACATTAAACATTTTAAATCCGAAAATATATTACTGCCTTTTAAATTAACTTCAAAATATAAATTTGGTCTATCAAAGCCAGAATAAAGAATTTGTGGATTTGATAATTTTAATACTTTAATTATGTCACATTTAACTTTTGGAGTTGCAGTAGCAGTGACTGCTAAGATAGGCACATCACAAAATATATCCTTTAAAGTTCCCAATTTTCTGTAAGAAGATCGAAAATCATGACCCCATGAACTTAAACAATGAGCTTCATCTACAGCTACAAGAACAATGTTTAATTTTTTATGCATATCTTTCAGAAGATCAATTCCATAGTCACCAGTACTATATTCTGGTGATAAATATATTAACGAATATTTATGTTCAAATATTTCTCTAATAGTTTGAGTTTGATTTTGTTGAGCTGTACCAAGCAAACATGCCGGAATATTTGAAGTATTTAGAGACAAAACTTGGTCTTCCATTAATGATATTAAAGGTGAAATCACAATTGTAATCCCACCCAGATATACAGAAGGATATTGGAAGCATAAAGACTTGCCATAACCAGTAGCCATAATAGACAAATTATCTCTCTTATGTTTTATAATAGAATTAATTATTTTCCACTGCATTGGTCTAAATGATTTATGTCCAAATTTTTTAAATAAAATTTCTAAATCTTTAGAACTGGGGCTTTCGTTTTCTGCATTATTCTCCATTTCTTGAGGAAAATCAGTTTCTGAAGAACTATTTAATAAGTTTTGCTCATAATTATTAAAACACTCATTAAGTTGATCATCATCTAAAGAGTCCATCATATTTTAATTTTTGGAATAACTAATTCACTCCTAAAATAAATACACTACTTCAGAAAATGAAAATGCCTAATTTCATGTATATATTTTCAATGAAAACCGATAGTTTATAATACATATTACGGTATAATAATTCCATTCTCAGGTCTTAGCTTATAAAATTTATAACTTAAAAACTAACAAAAAGGCTAATTAGAATGTAATGTATCTACTTAGTATGTTTTTTTCGCTCATAGAATTTATGAATATACTTACTTGGGCAACTGTAGATAAACGTAAGGACAGATATCTGGCTGATGAAGGATTCATTATCCACTAATCAGAAGAACCACTAAAAGCACCAAATATTATTAATGCAAAACAGAAAAAATAAAAGAAAAAAGTTCTATATTTTTAATAACACAACAAAATAATACATTTAAATAGAAAGCTTCAAAATTTAAATGTATCATACTGTGGTATCATATTAATATTGTTACATAAATCTTTAATTTTAGTATTTTAACCTGACATAAATTCGTTCTTCAAATATATATTTATCTTCTTCTGACGTAAATATGCGTACTTTGTAATTGAACGAACAAAACAACAAACAAGAATATTATAATGTCTTACCAATTTGTCCAAGAAAACAAATTGCAATCAGTATTTTTTTAAATTCAGATAAAAATAACTTAGCACCAAAGACAAACCAACCATATGAGCCATAGATTAGAAGAAATCAGAGTTTATGAAATCATTACTGACCATAGATTCATAAACACACATTTTATTCAGAACATTGCCCAAGTCTCAGGTCATAGCCATAGCCATTATTATATTTCTCTATGGTCATCATAAATGTCATAACAATTACTATAATTATCTATGGTCATAACTTGTCAAAGTCGTATGAGATCATTGGACTTGGGTGACAAAAAGAAATAAGAAATTGTGGTTTGAATGAATTTATTATTAAAATAAGTATGTATGAAAAATTGTCCAAGCTAAGTGTTTAGATATAATATAAGATTTTTATAAACATTATGGTGATTGTGTAATATACTATTTAAGTGGTAATGCTGTGAGTAAACAATGAACCCTCAAAATCAGAGTTTTGATGACGCCTATTTGCAAAATAAAATAGATAATTTATCTCTTAATGATCCCAAATACGGTAAAATTAACAATATTTCTAAACCAGAATCATCGTCGACAGCGTATCAGCAAAAACAACATTTAAATGACTATTCTTTATATGCTAGACAAAATGTAATTGCAAGTTCAAAGTTTGCTACTCCAAAGTCTTTGGAGATTATTGCAAACGAGAATAAGAACATAGAAGAGAATAATGTCTATGTACAAGTTGCGAAACCTCAAGTTCCTCCCAATTTTACGCAGACTTCAGGAAATTTTCCTCAACATCCTGAAGATTCATTGCCAGGAAACTCTGGGCCAGTATATGAAAATATAGATTATTATCCCAACAGTTCGAGTCATCAATCTACATATTATAATAAGAAAGCTCAGCCTCAAGTACCTATGGGTATTAAAAATAGTGATAATGATATTAGTCTACCCTTGTATGAAAATGTTCAGAGATACCAGAAAACTTCTGGTGCAGAACCTGGTCCACAGGTTCCCTCAAATTATCAATATGAAGAAAATGTTTTACCGGAAAATCAACATTTAATTTATTCAGAAACAAGTCAGTCATATGGAGGAATTAAAAAATTTACCCCACAAATGATTGAGGAAATAAATGGCAGTGATTATGTTTGTATGACAGGAAATGTATCCCATACTTTAAGTACAAACCCACAATTTCAAACATCAACAGCAAAGAATTATGATAGGTAAGATTTAATTTCAAAATAATATCTATCTTTATAAATGAAAAGATACTAATATTATATGTATAATTTATTTATTTATTCATAAATAATCAATGTGTACAATTAACTATAAACATAATAAACTTATAATAGATTTATTTACAAATACTTACGCATCTTAATATAAATAAATATAATAAATTTAAGTATACAGGGTCGGTCAGAAAGTAATGGCATATCAAAGTATCATTTTTTTTTTAAATAGAACCCCTTGTATATTATTACATATTTTAATTCTTCCTTCAATTCTAAGCAAAAAATAGATATAATATAATAAATATAATACACACAATATACCTGAAACCAACAGTTTCCGAGTTATTGACTTTTGAAAATATCACTTAAACAATTTGATTTAATTAATTTCGATGTGTTTGGTTTCATTAAACAATGCCATTCTGCGGAAACTGTGATATTTAATCATATTTGACATTAGTTTTCAAATTAGTATTGTGTATAAAGTGTGTCTTCAAGTTAGCATCAAGTTAGCATAAAATGAGATTTTATCAAGTCTGGTAATTTTCGTTTAACATTTCAAAACCAAAACTCGATATCTCGGAAACGGTTCGATTTAGGTACATTATGTGTATTAACCTAATATAAATATGAAGGGATGAGAAAGCTCTGATCATATGTGTATTGACATTTAGTACTGAATGATGTTTTTCTTGTTTCTTTTTGAATAAAATAACATATCCAAAGTGCAGTTAAGAGGAAATTTGTTTTTTATCTTTTTCAATTTCTATTATTAGAATCTTATGAACTAGGATTAAAACCTTTTGATAGATAGCGTCTCTTTGTGACTTACCATCGTTAAAATTTATATCTATAAAACTGATATGATTAGACAACTAATGAACTCAGGAATTATTATTGTTTCATTTTCAAAAAATCCTTATATTTATTTCAAGTAGTTACTAACTATGAACAGAAACAAGCAATTTAAGGTTAGGAGTTTTATAATATTTAAGTATAAAATCATAAAATTTAAATTTGTGTAATTCAAAAATTATAAACTAAATAATCTAAAAAATAATTTATTTTTTAATATATTTATCAAGTTTAAAAACACTTTGAAAACGCTGCAACTCGGAAATTTCGGTCGCAAATTAGTACATTCAGGCTGAGGGTGCATCCACACTATTGTAAAAACGGCGTATCGGCGTAACGGCGTAACGACCTTGAATCGATTTCCAGTAATTCTATTGGCTGAAATTTTTGACAGATGAATTTGACAGGTAAAATTTCTGACAGATGAATTTTTCAGCCAATAGAATTACTGAAAATCTATTCAAGGTCATTACGCCGTTAGGGTGCATCCACACTATCCTAAAAACGGCGTAACGACTTTGAATCGATTTCCAGCAATTCTATTGGCTAAAAAATTCATCTGTCAAATTCATCTGTCAAAAATTTCAGCCAATAGAATTACTGGAAATCTATTCAAGGTCATTACGCCGTTACTCCGTTTTTAGGATAGTGTGGATGAACCCTGAGAGCGTCGCGTCACGTTTGCGTCGCGTCCGCCCCATTGAACTCGAACCCCGACGCTCAGCGGACGCTAGCACAACGCCAAACGCGACGCTGTCTGCCTAACGGTCTAATTTAAGTTAAGCAAATTGATTCAATTTCGACACGCGGACGCGACGCAAACGCGACGCGGCGCTCGATGCTCTCAGCCTGAATGTACCTTTTATTAAGTTTGAGGTCACGTACAGCTGGTTCCAATAAAATTGAGTACGATTTAAAACATTTTTATTTTATTTCGGGCAGTATATTCTATGATACCAGTCCCCCATTTCTCTACTCATGTCATGCGGACGTTCTGAAAAATGTATTTGCCACTTTGTCAAAAGCAAAGTTGTTTTATACAGAATGTCACAATAACCTTAGCATGTCAAAATACTTAACACATAAATATACACTTAAATATTCCAAAAACATGTGTAAAGAGTCGTATTCATTTTTTTTGGAACCAGATCTGTACATCCGTCATGCTGGTCATGAGGCGTTTTTTATTGATAGTTTTATTGGCTTATTTCAAAAATTAATTATGTATTTTTTAAATTTTATTCATGTGATTTAAATAAAAAAGTAAACTTTATTACTACTTTATAATAAATCGAAAAATAACCGTAAAAGTTATAAAAATGCATCCTCGAAAACTATAAAAAATATTTCTATAACAAATATACTCTATATCTATTCATAAAATAAAATGTTATTTGCTATTGTAACCAGAGCTGCAACAAGTCAGTTTTAAAAATACTTTAGCCACAGAATATCTAGCTACGCAACAGAAAAATACTCGAAATGAAAGAGCTAAAATTGCACAAATAGAATACTAGATGGCGCGACAATATCATAATCAGAATATAATTAGAAATTTTGAACTTTCGGTTTTGGATCGACGGCTCGTCGACTGCCTTGTAGCTGGGCTAAATATGCACAGTTGCCAGATTCAAAAAGACTTGAATTGGCATCCCTTTCTTTTTACTGTGTATAATTAATGCAGTATATGTTTCTTTCTATTCTTCTTTTCTTGTCAGATACACTTATATTAATTACTCCTTTGGCTATTAAAATAGTTTTAAGTATATTATTACAAAACATATACATTTTTAATATACACTAGCTTATAATGTTAACTAAGAAAATAAGACATAGTACCTTTAAAATTAATAATATACAGGGCGATTGATAGTGATATTTATTAATGCTGGAACGTTAGTAATGAAATATAAGTTTAATAATAATGGAAATAATTTATTAAAATGCAGTACAAAAAATGTTAACTGACTAAAAAATACTATAATAACAAATTTCTTCCGTTTGCCACGTTATTTATATAGATCTAGGTAGATTTTAAAAAGTGACACAGGTACAATTAATAATATATTAGTTCGGCATAAAAGTTGCTGTCACGACATCGAACAATAAATTAAAATTCGTAAAATAAATTAAAATTATTAATTAAAGAAATCTTTATAAAGAAACGCAAGTATACCAAATTTGGGCCCAATCGAACTCCAGGAAATTATATCATAATAGTGTACTATATTATGGTACCACTTGATATGCTTTAAGGTACCATAATATTGCAATGTCACAGAAGATCCGTAATATACCAAATTTAAGAACAATCGAACGCCATGAAATGGTATCGTAATATGGTACTATATTAAGGTACCACTTTATATATATCATAGTACAATCATATTACAATGTAACCGAAGATACGTAGTATACCAAGTTTAAGCCCAATCGAACGCCAGGAAATGGTATCGTAATATGGTGCTATATTAAGGTACCGCTTTATATGCATCATAGTACCATCATATTACAATGTCACCGAAAATACGTAGTATAATATAATAATATGAAGTTTAAGCCCAATCGAACGCCATGTACGTAATATAGTACTATATTTGGTACCAGTTGATATGCTTCATGGTACCATAATAATGCAATGTCATCAAAAATACGCAAGTATATATCAAATATGAGCTCAATCGAACGCCAGGAAATGGTATTGAAATATGGTACTATATTAAGGTACCACTTTATATGCATCATAGTACCATCAATTACAATGTAACCGAAGATACGTAGTATAACAAGTTTAAAATCGAACGCTAGGAAATGGTATCGTAATATGGTACTATATTATGGCACCTCTTATTATGCTCCATGGTACCATAATATTACAATATCACCGAAGATACGTAGTATCCCAAATTTAAGCCCAATCGAACGCCATGTACATAATATGGTACTATATTATGGTACCAGATGATATGCATCATAGTACCATCGTATTACAATGTCACCGAAAATACGTAGTATACCAAGTTTAAGCCCTATTGCCGCCATGTACCTAATATTGCTATGTCATCAAATATGGTACTATAGAAGGTACCACTTTATATGCTCCATGGTACCATGATATTACAATGTCACTGAAGATATAGTATACCAAGTTTAAGCCCAATCGAACGCTATGTATCGTAATATAGTACTATATTATGGTATCACTTGATATGCTTCTGAAAAAAAACGGCGTCCAGTTGGCTGGAAAAGGACGATCGATGACATTTCCGTAATAGCAACAATTTTGACCGTCTGCTTTTAAATAAGTAGGCTTTGAACGGCACCGGCTGTAATGCAAAAAATTCTAGCTGTGAACCTCAATTAAAACGAAAATAATATTTGCTATGAGATGCAGAATTTTATAACAATTTAAAATATATTTAACCAACATCAACACATTTAAACTATATAATAACAATAAAAATAAATAGCAACCAAGACATGAGATTTTTGCTACAGGTGTTCGGACATATCGAACTGACACATCGACCGACAATCGTCTTCTTCGTTATGGACAGACGGGGCAGTTTTTTGAAAATTTCTCGTGGAATTCATTAACTGAGATTAGATCCATGGGCTCTAAGTCAGGCGGCCTAGACGGCCAACGGCTGATCTTGGTTAGCTATCCAATTATTCTGAAATTGGCTGCAAAATTTGCTGATAACTTCAGCGTTCAGAGGTGGTGCGTCGTTTTGCTGGAAAATATAAGCTGAATTCCATTAAGGGCATATCATCAATAACCAAAATCTACTAGCTAAAAGTGGCGAAATTTATAAAAATTTGTATTTCGAAGGGGATAACAAAATATCAAGTGTGCTATATTTTTGGAAAGATAATTTTAAATTCTTTCAGTTAATTAAAATATGAGGGTGTCCCAAATAAAATCATTTTTCTGTTGATAACTCTAAATTATTAATTTAAAAAATTATACTTTAAACCATTACCCTACGTAAAAGTTGGTGCTTTGGAAATGTTTTCTCATAGAAATACAAAATTCTCCATAGCAAAAGTTACAGTGATTTGTTAAAATGCACATTTTTGAAAACACTCAACTCCGAAACGGTAACAGATATTGATGTGATGTTTTCACCATCATGTTTTTGATAAAAATTGAGCTCCAGACACCGATATTAGTTTTCGTCTATCTCCTATAGAAAAGGGTGTTTCCATTTAAAAGCGTCGAATTTGACCCACCCTGTACATAATATGGTACTATATTATGGTACCAGATGATATGCATCATAGTACCATCATATTACAATGTCACCGAAAATACGTAGTATACCAAGTTTAAGCCCTATTGCCGCCATGTACCTAATATTGCTATGTCATCAAATATGGTACTATAGAAGGTACCACTTTATATGCTCCATGGTACCATGATATTACAATGTCACTGAAGATATAGTATACCAAGTTTAAGCCCAATCGAACGCCATGTATCGTAATATAGTACTATATTATGGTATCACTTGATATGCTTCTGAAAAAAACGGCGTCCAGTTGGCTGGAAAAGGACGATCGATGACATTTCCCATTTAAATTTACATATAAAATGACAGTGATATTAATTTCATAGCTATCGCTAACGCCGTTTTTTCCCGATTATACAATATGAACTTGGGGTATGAACACAATCGAACGTCAGGAAGTGGTATCATAATGTAGAACATTTTACTATATATTAATGCCGAATTACAATGAAAATTCAGGATTCAATTATACAATCAAACGTCAGGAAGTGATTGTACTTAGTCATAAGATTTTAATTCAACTAACAGGCAAACTGAAAAACAGCTCTTATCTATTTTAATATGTTTAAATGATGTAGCAAATTTGAAGGTAGGCTTTATCAGAAGTATTACGATATGAATTACACATTGGCGCAACACTGCACAAAATTTCAATTTTGTTTGTAGAAAACTGTTTTCTTTAAATTTAATGTTCTATTATGTAGTAGCGAACTAGCACACATCAATATATGTTTGATTGGAGACAGACTTTTAAAGCCTGTCTCCTTTTGCTACCTACAATTTTATACATGTAACGAGGCTTCTGTTGCGTAGCTAAATATTCTGTGCTTTAGCCCACGGCCACGCAGAAAGCGTTTTTCGCTTGATGATGATATCAGTTGAGTATATCGTGGGATTATATAGGAGTGGCGCCACCAAAAACGAGTAGCGTTCGGCGTGTCTCCCAAAAAAACGTAAATGAAAACAAATCAGTTTGTTTTTTGTAGCGTCTTTAGCGATTTCTAAGATGAGACCTCGTCATAGACCGACGTTATATTTAATACAATAAAAATAAATTAAATAGTATGCATTTTTTTCATTTTAGGCTTCTCTTTAGGTCACAGTGGCTGTGGTAATCACTAAATTTGACGTTTAGGCTATACATATTTTTTTGACAGGTAGCTTTTTTTGTCCAAAAACTTTAAATATTTTTTTTCTCAAAAAACGGTTAATGTTAGGTATAGAGTGTTTAACATCAATATTTATAGAATTTTACAGATAATTTAAGTATGCAATAAAAAATGGGGGCACCTATTTAAAATAAGAAAGTTGCTGTCAACTTCCGGTATTTCCGGAAGTGCCGCCATATTGAAAATATTTTTAATCGGTAGATCTCTTTGTCAAACAAAAAAAAAATCAGCCTGGTTCCATCCAGTGTTGGATATAGGCCTCTTCTAGGTTTTTCCATGCTTCGCGATATCTAGCCAATCTTATCCATTGTCTTCCCGCCACTGCCCTGACGTCATCGACCCATCTCTTTTTTGGTCGGCCCACACCTCTTGTTGTTCCCCTAGGTCTCCATGGGATACTTTTTGGGGCCATCGGTCTGAATCGTCTTGCCACATGTCCTATCCATTGCCACCTCCTTAATTTTTTTTTTTTTTTTTTTTTTTTTTTTTTTTTTTTTTTTTTTTTTTTTTTTTTTTTTTTTTTTTTTTTTTTTTTTTTTTTTTTTTTTTTTTTTTTTTTTTTTTTTTTTTTTTTTAATCGACATCTATTAATTTTGTTTTTTGACGAATGTAGGTATTCCGTATTTTTTCCCTAATGGTGACTCCCAACATGATTCTTTCCATGGCTCTTTGTGCTACTCGTAGTTGTTCTGCTGTTCGGGTAATTGCCATAGTCTCTAAGCCATACGTAAGCACAGGTAGAATGCAGCTGTCGTAAGCCTTTTTCTTTAGATTCATTCTTGAAAATATCGCTCATATTTTCAAATGCTACCCATGCCAAATGGATCCTGCATTTGATCTCCGTATTTTGGTTTTCCTTGCCCAGCTTGATTTTATGACCTAAATATATATAATGGTCTACGTTTTCAATAATAACGGTAATGTTATGGATATTGTTGCTCATTATCTTGGTCTTCTTCAAGTTCATTTTAAGGCCAATTTTCTGGGATAGGTCATTTAGCTCATTTAGCATGGTGTTTAGTGCTTGAATGTCGGTGCTCAGCAAGACAATATCGTCTGCGAACCTCAGATGGCTAAGGTGTACCCCATCGATGTTTAGACCTCTATTTTCCCATTCTAATTTCTTGAAGACATTTTCCAGTGCCAGTGTAAATAACTTGGGAGAGATGGTATCTCCTTGTCTCACGCCCTTGCCGAGTGGTATTTTTTCTGTTTTGAGGTCATCATCTAATTTAACTTGGAAGGTTGCACTATTATAGATATTTTTAATAATGGATAATATCTGGAATCAATTCTCGCGTCCTTCATTGCAGCTAGAAATGACCAGGTTTCGATGCTGTCAAAGGCATTTTCGTAGTCTACAAAGGCCAAATGTAGAGGTATATTGTATTCTGTTGTTTTTTCAATGACTGTTTTAATTGTAGATGATCGATGGTACTAAAACCTTTTCGAAAGCCTGCCTGTTCTATAGGCTGATAGGAATTTAGTTTCGTAGACAGTCGGTTGTTGATAATCCTAGTGAAGAGCTTGTATAGATGCGAGAGAAGGCTTATTGGTCTATAATTCTCTATATTTGTAAAATCTCCTTTTTTGTATAATAGCACAACTTCTGCGTTTTTCCATGCGTCCGGGATTCTACCCTCCATCAGACATTTATTTAACAATACTTCCACGGCATCCACTAATGGTTTTCCGGCCAGCATTTCAGGTGTAATACGATCTTCTCCTGGGCTTTTGCCATTTTTTATTTGTTGAAGTGCGTATTTAATTTCTGTGGTTGATATTTCTGGCATATCTTCTGATCCTACATTTGTGATGTGTTTTTGTACTCTATCTTTGTTTGGTATAACAGATTGATAAAGTTGTTCGTAGAATTTGTGAATTTCATTTCTAATTTCATGTTTGTCTGTTGTTATAGTGCCATGTGTGTTTCTTATCTTTATTATATTTTTTTTTGTCAAACAATGATATGCACAAAATCTCCGATCTAGTGGTTCTCTAGAAACTTCTAATGCACGCTCAGCCTGGGACACCCTGTATAACAGTTAAAAATAACAGGTTTCTGATATTTTTTGACTTTATCCTTAAACGTCTAAAAGAGCATACGCATTGCAAAATCATCTTCATATTTATTTCTTAATAAAAAAATAATGTACTTAGAATATTTTAACTTTTAAGTTAAGTAGCTACTAAAGAATATACCAAGAAATAATTCTTTAAATATACTGAGTAATTAATGAGTGTGAGCTAGTGAGTGATATTTACTAATATCACTCACTAGTCGCTAGTCAAGTACAAACAAAACTAATAATACTAATGCTACTTAAATACTAGTTGGCGTCATTGGACTGTGTTCCTAAATTGTGTCGTTATGTACTCGAAAACAGGGATTTAATTTATATTTTGAAAGATGTAGAACGCAAATATATTTGTAGGTCGCCAGCCACTGGAATAGCTCAAACACCGACGAAGATTATTTCACCAAGCAAAGGGGTTAAAAACCTTCCACTTCCGGAGACAATGCCAAAAAGACCATCTCCAGTTCCTAGTCCTACCCCAAGTTTATCTAGTATCACTAGTGGGGGAAAATTGAAAATTAGTGGTAAAAACTTGCTTCCTTATAGTGTCACTCCACCAAAACCTCGAGGACCCACTGAAGCCCAGAAAAAAATAGAAGAAATGACCAGACAAATTGAGGAAGAAATGGAGAGACATGAAGAAGAAGGAGAATATTTTGGTAATTGATTTGTAAATGAAGACTACCTAACTAAACTATTAAATTATTTAATCAATTTTCTTTACTGGGTGACAAGGAATCATTGCACAGGCGTTCATTTTGAAACTTCAAAAAACTAATCAACGTTTATTAAAACTCACATTTTTCGTTAAAAAGCATTTGAATACCACTTGCGATTTTACTGGGAGTGAGCCCAAATAAGTTTTAAATGGTTGTAAATGTTGATGAAGTAGAGTAAGGGCTTTTTAAGGAGCCAGGAGCGTGACGTAACTGCGTCATCAGTGACGTAACTGCATCGCGACACGTTACGTTATCATTATTTGTCAAATACGCGTTTTAGGGCATGTCTGAGATCAGTTCATATTGTTTAGAAAATTTTAAGTACGTTCGGAAATTATTAATTGAGTAAGTTACGTTTTTTAGTGTTCCGTACCCAAAGGGTAAAAACGGGAACCCTATTACTAAGACTTCGCTGTCCGTCCGTCTGTCACAAAGGTCTATCTTATGAACCGTTGTAGCTAGACTCTTGAAATTTTCACAGATAATGTATCTATGTTGCCGCTATAAGAACAAATACTAAAAACAGAATTAAATAAATGTTTATAAATAAAAAAGTACTTTCACTAAACATTGTCCTTTAAGTAAGAATTTTACATAGAATCTTTCATGTCCTCGGTGGCCGCGTGGTTTAAAGCGTTAGGACTCTTCGCTGCTATGACGTTGGAGCCGTAGTAAGACAGGTTCGAATCCGAGCCAAGGCGACTTTTTTAATCGTTTCTTTTTTTTAATTTTTACATATTTATTTTTACTTTTTACCTATTTATTATTGATTAATACAATTTTTAGTTATGTGTTTCTTCATTTTTTTTTAAATTACTTATACGCGCATTCAAAAAAAAGTTAAATCGGAAAAAAAGTTTATAATAATATAGTGTCTAATGTTGTATAGATAATGAATGGTAAGGAACCCTTCGTGCGCGAGTCCGACTCGCACTTTTGTTTTCACATCAATTTTAATAAATTCATCTAGGTATGTTAGGCCTTTATTCGCTTTCGCTTTGATTGTCTTTCATTTTATGATTTTAGGCCCATATACCAGTTTTTCCAGGTAAATTCTACCTATTTTAAAAATAAACTATGAAAAAAATTGAAATTCAATACAATAAACTTTGATACTCTAGAAGTTTAAGATGCCTAAAACAATTAAATATGCTTGTACCTACTTCTTAAACTGTATAAGAAATGCCTATTTTCAAAGCATCAACAACATGATATATTATTGAAAAACGCTGTTAATCTCTGTTTACAAAAGTTACACACATTATAAGACTACACACGTTTGCATTGTAATTACTTCATATACCGCATTGACTGGTAAAAGCGTTTTAGCAGTGTCTCTTTTCTCACGTATAATAAGTAATAAACTTTGCGATGAGAACTTGTTTATTCTCGCTAAAGGTTTATTCTCACTATCTCACTATACGTTCCGTATCCGCTACTGTCCATTTCCTGTCTGTTTGCGTAAAATATTGTATCATGTAAGGAATAGGACAATGCACACTATCCGTTTCCATGGTTACGTTTAATAGTGTGAATCATAGATAAATGCATGGCTGGGAAACTTAAATGGAAATGACAGTTCATTAAAAATAGTTTTTCCTCCAAGATGCAGAGGCGCAAAATATTAAAACTGTCAATCAACAATGCAAATGTCAAAATCTGACAATAATAAAATTTGATTTTTAACTGACACGATACACTCAGAGACGCTTTTGTTCTGATTTTACGGTTTGATCATAGATAAAAGAAAATAATCTTCTATTAAGATAGATATGAAACTTAATAGTAAAATTTTGGGTCAAAGCGCCCCTCCGTGTTCTTAGTAGAGACTACGTTTAACCCAGCGCCTTCGCCTTTTCTGCTGTAAATATTTTTTATGTTTATATTTGATTTCAAAGGATTTAGTTTTAAAGCTACACTGATATATGTATTAATATATGAGAGTAACTTTAATAAAACATAAGAATATACATATTTTAGTTTATTAAATATAAATTTTGACTACAAGGTAGAAAGTAAATCACAATATTTGATAAAACTTATAAGTATACCATTTTTACAGTTAATAAATAATAAAACTATTTCTGACTATGATATTTAACATCTGGATAAATAGAATATTAAAAAACATACCGGTATTTGCAGACGCAGACCCAAATTCAATAAAAACCAAAATTTTTCCTGCGAAAATCGGGCTTTTTTCACAGAAAAGGTATTTTTTGATTTATCAACAATCATTGTCAAGTTGACAATATACAGGGTGTTTTCTAATTAGTCTAAAAAATTGTGGTGTGATTCCATCATGTGTTCTTAAAACAATTTTTATATAACCATTGGGTCTAAAGTACCTACTTCCTTTCTGATCTACAGGGTGTTAAAAATTTTAAAAAAATCGATATTTTGTTTAAAATAAATGGTACACTACTGCCTTTTTAAAGAAAATATATTTTTTTCTTGACTGGTCATCCTTTTTCAACAAAATTGATCTTTTCATCAAACGGTTGCCGAGAAAAAAATAAATATACTTATTAAGAGCCTGCCTTAAGCAGTTTTCTAACGATTTTTTATTTTTTAGATTAATTAGGAAACACCCTGTATATGCATATCACAGGCAACCAAATAAACTAGTAACCTCTAAAAATTATTTTTCCTACCACTAGCGACATACCGTGTTTTTAGTGAGTACTAAATTATTTTATCAAAATTTCATCATATAAGTTTCCAGGCAATAGGTTTGATTTCGTTTTGATTTGTCGAATTATTGTAAAACTAAATTCCTTCAGATTTTTTGGCAGTATTCTGTTTTAGACAATGTTTTTTTTAAAATGGTAGGACAATTTGTGTTTTGTATACTCTTTGTTATATATTTATCATGGAGTTTAATTGTTGTACACCGGGTTTCCAAAGGATACAATGGTAAGTAAATTAAATATATCTACTTACAGTTATAGATTGTTTAAATTAGCACTGCTAATAAATGCTACTTGCTGAGCAGTTATTTATTTTTTACGGTGCATGTAAGGAATTAAGGACGCGCGTTGCGTTATATTACCATGATCAGCAGATGATTAAATCTAATTTAATTTGTTTTTATTATTTCAGGTCTCAAACGGAAACAAACTGGGAATCTTGCCTACACCAAAATTATATAGCCGTTTCCAATTCACTTCAAAGGGAGGAAAATTATGTAAAACTGCCTGCTATTTGATGAAAACCGCCAAAGATTAAATTATAACTGTAACAACTTAATATATACTATTACGTCTTTTTAATATTTTTTTAATTAATATCGGACATATAAGAACACTTTGTATGCTTTTAATTAAGTTGATTTATCGTTTAGAACATGTTCGACCTAATTAAAAGCACACAAAGTGTTCTTACATGTATGTCTAAATTTATTTTAAATTAATTAAAACAACCCCCTTTCCCCGCACCCCTTTCTTCCCTTATTATTTCTTCCTCCGACTACCAGAGGCGCCCTTGTATAATAAAATTGAAATGTATTATAAGGTGCCTATCTATTTAATATTATAAGTCTTTTATCTATGGATAAATGCAACAAGTTTAGATTGGAAAGCCCGTAAAAATTTTAGGTCGCGAAATTATTTTGGGTCGTGACCGTTATACGCGATCTGGCGCTGCTATAGCGGTCGCTAAGAACAACGACAAACAAAAACAGAAATAATTTTCTCTTGTCAAAGTCAGAATCTTCAAAAATCATAATAATCTTTCAAAATCCAAACCGCTCTCATTAAAGAAATTCCGAAAAGTGTTTATAGCGTCCATTTTCAAAGTAATAATTGCTATCTTGTGAGTTTAATTCAAGTTTTATTTACTCTACCGGTGATAATTGTGAAAAGTGGCATTAAAAACTTAAAAAGCTGTGCTGTGAACTGTGAACTGCAAAAAGCATCGTGGATCGTGGCATAACGTCGGTTTCCAATGTTTTATAGGTATTTCATACATGCGTCCTTATATAAAATAAAGTTTCTTGTATGCAACACAATGTCTTTTATTTATAAAATTAAACTAAAATAATAATAAATTTGAATAAACAATATTTGGCGATATAATTCCGGAAAAAGCCGAACCGCTCCGAAATTTTCAAAAGTTTTGGGTCGCGACCGTTGCAAGAATGGCGCCAAATAGTGTTTACATTGTCCTTATGGGCACTTTCCAATCTAAACTTGTTTCATTTATCTATGGTGTGAATACAATCAAATTATATGGAGCGGATATGAGACGGAAACGGAATGTATAGTATAGAATATAGTATAGAATCAACCTTAAATCGGCAACGCATTTTAGTAATAAAAATGGAATTTCAAATTAAAAATCAAAAAGTCAGAATTAAACATTCTGATTTTTTGGTTTTGAAGACATTAATCGATGTCCGTCAACCGTCAATAAAATTATAACCCCAAATCAAATAATAACAATGACAATTACTAAAAATAGTGTGTATGAAGGATCAGAATTAAATTATTCTGGGTGCCGGGCTACAGCGGCATCCAAGGCAATGAAAAAGTCGATGAGATAGCTAGGCAAGGATCATCGGCATTCTATCTTGGTCCAGAGCCAGTACTGGGAATACCCAAATGTATGGCCCATGTAGAATGTAGAATGAGTGAGAGGGGGGGGGTTAATCACTGCGACCTTAAAGCTCTATTGCGCCCCCCTTCCTTGAATCATCACACAGTCTATAACCCATCATACCCCTGTTGTAGAGGGGACAGGGTATTTCCTATCCTCCTCTGACAACAGATGTTCTTCCTCCGAGGGTACACACCCTCCCACGGTTGGAGTTTAGCCCTCCGTGCCCTTCACAGTCGAGGAGCTTGCCTCCAGCTGAGGTACCCGTGAGGTGTAGGCTGGAGGATCTGTCTCCATTTTCTCCACTTCTTTAACTTGGTCTCTCTTTAGACCTGATACCGGTG